GAACATTAAACATTTTACACTATGCAACGTTTCCGACCAAATTTGCGTTGGTCACTGGAGTGAAAAACAAAATGTTTCCTGGGTATTTTTGTTTTTTTACCCTTTTGCTTCTCTTTTTCCTGGATACTCTGGGTCTGAAACTGAAAGGAAGGCTGTCTGGACCAGGGAGGGCATCTTTCAAGAGGGTCAGGGAATAGAGAGGACCCCAGGGAACTAACTCAAGCCTGGAGGTATTCTGAGTTTGCAGCACCTAAAGCATCAAATTACAAAGAGGGCTGGGGTAAGATGGGAGGAGGCGCAAAAACAGAGGGGCCATTTCTACCTTTAGGAATTCCCTATCTACCAGGAGAAGGAAATAGGTAGTGTGGGCTTAGACATAGCTGGCAATTAGGACAAGGTTCTAATTGTCTTTGGCTGGCCATGTGATCTTAAAGGGTAGGAGGGGCCACTTGTCAAATGAAGTATTCACAGGAAGGGATGAATCTTCATAATAAAGGATTAAGTGTGGTGGGCAATTCTCTAAGTATGTTCCAATTTTTAAAAAGTCTGATTAAATAAGCTTAGAAAAACTCTCCTCCCTCTTCCCTCCTCCATAGCACCAGACACACTTTCTGTGTGTCAAAGGCCTTGCTGTAAAGGAATCTTTTACATTTGGCATTTCCCAACTTATTTTCTGAATGACTTGTTAACATCTGCAAAGCGCGCTTTGGAAAATGATCTCTATACCCCTTCCAGCTCTAGAATCCTGTTGTTCAAGATATCCTTCGTTGGAGACTTCACCACTTCTCTCTTTCTTTTGTGTAGTCAGTCTTTCATTTAATCTTTGGGCTGAACCTAATGTACTATCCCATCACTTTCCTTTTCATGACCTCTATGTTATTTAAATGCTCGCATGGAACTAAAATAGGGCATCCAGCCATGGTGGTTCAATGGTGGAGCATCGACCTATGAACCAGGAGGTCACGGTTCGATTCCTTATCAGGGCATAGGTCCAGGTTGTGAGCTCAATCCCGTGTGGGGCATTCACGAGGAAGCCAATTAATGGTTCTCTCTCATCATTGATATTTCTACCACTCTTCCTCTCCCTTCCTTACTGAAATCAATAAGAATATATTAAACACACACACACACACACACACACACACACACACACACAGGGTTGGACTAGATGATCTCTAAAATTTGTTCAAACACGGAAATTTTAAGATCTTTTTTGGAAAATAATCATAAACATCCACTAAAGTATGAAACCTGGGCTGTTCCATCACAGCACTAATGTTTATAAACTGAGACCTTTGAGATGAAATCCTATATCCTGCCATTCTGTATACTACCTTAAGCTCAATACTATAAACATTTCCTTGGCAACTTCCTTCTGCCCTTGGTTGATGCAAAAGGAGAAATGAGGGAGATGGTATGGACATTCCCTAGACCCATCTTCGAGGTAACAGAGTTCAATGGGGATGCCTCCTGCCAAGTGTGCTCTGTTTTTCTTGTAGGTAAAAGGTTATAAAACGTTAGGGAACTATACATATTGCCCATACCTAACCACAAAAATATTTAATGAATGTGCTTCCAGTTCAGCCAGGGCACCATCTGATTCCTGGCAGAGGCTGAGGCTTAGAGATGCAGCAGAGCAAGATAAGAGGCAATCTGAGAATAACTGCAGAAGTCAACTATCCAACAGTCACACGGGTTAGTCATATTCCAGTTCTCCAGCGTCTGACTGCCATATCCTCTTTGTACTCTGTCCTGACTCTTCTTTAACATCCCCCCTTTTTTAACCCTCATTTCCGTCCTAACAAAAGTTTAAAACAAAGCAAAACAACAGTAAAACATACACTCAAATTAGTTTCCGCCACTGTCCCAAAGCCTTATTAGTAGCTGGAAAGACAGAAATATTAACCAACCTAATTAATCAAACAGCAATTCACTAATTTCCCCTCGTCCAGGCCTCCCAATGAAACCCCTGGGGTAGGTCTGACTCCACAGCAGTGCATGGGGGCACTGGCCGTGACACTGCACTGGCGACTTTTCTATTCCTGTCTACTCTTCGCAGGAACAGAGCTGGGATGTGGGGTTTTGAAGCAATGCTTTGGAGAGCAGGATGCTTCAGCCCACAATAAAACACAGCGAGGAAGATAATGAATGTTTACATGTCACAGAGGGCTTCCATAGAACATGCTCAGTGTGAGAATTTTCAGAAGTTGACAGATGCAGTTTGACAGAAATAAATAAAACAAGATTCCCACGGCTTGCTTCACATATAAAGGAGTAGTTATTGGAAAAGAGTATACTTTATAATTATGTTCCAAAACAGAGTGACACTGGATTATAAGTATAATTACTATTAAAAATAAAGGTATAAACTAAGAAAAAGCTTTAGCAAAGGCTAATTTTAAAGTAAAAATAAAACAAAATTTAATCTAAAAACATTTTCAAGTTTAAATAACCCTAGGGAGCCTAATTGGATTAAAATTGAACGATCTGACCGTAATCAAAAGAATCATCATAGCATGTACACAAAATAGAGAATAAAATTTTAATGGTATAAAAAAACAAATCTTTTTGGCCAATTTAGTACTTGCTGGAATAAAGTTGTAAAATGTTACTCAGTAACTGACTTAGCTTCTAAATCAAGCCAAAATCATACATATTCTGTATATTATTTGAGTATAAACAAGTACATTACATGATAACATGCAGACCTGGAAACAAGAAGAGTACCGTGAAGTCAGAACTGCCATCTCTGTTGACGAAGTAATGAGCTGAGAACAAAACGCCTGCCCAGTAATCTGGGCTATCTCATTTTGAAAAGGGGGTTTTAACTATTATTCCAAGGGTTCAAATTCCATGTGCCTAAGTTTGATTTTGTTTTCTGGAAATGAAAAATGGGAAGCCGATATATTTCTACAGTTATGGGAATATATATTTTTAAACTTAATATTAAACTCAAAAAGGGCTCTTCACACTCTAGTGGTTAAGAATGAATTCCTTAAAGCTCTTAGGCATTTGAGTGCCATACCACCCACAGCAACGTATGCTCAAGCATTTACTAACAGTTGTATGAGATGCGTTGAACTTTCCTGAGAACTAAGTTAGACCTAGGAAATAAGCAGGGTATGAAAATGACCTGAGTTTACAGGAATCTCTAAATTCAGAAGAGATTACTTCAGTTTTGCTAAGATCTCATCAAAAGCCTTTTATAGCAAGGGTTTTGTAGTCACATATTGGGTCATGGAACCTTGGAATCTTTTTAAACACTAAAAAGGAGTGTTTTATGTTGTGCAAATTCAATGAAAGGCTAAAATAGACAAGAGGACTGACTGATGGTGCTGAGTAAAACCTACAGGTAAGCCACAGATCCCACTGCCTTAAAAAGAAAGAAGGCGAGATGTGCAATTGGCCAACTGTGCACCAGGCTGGCGGTTTCTGGAAGCTAGAAAGATCCTGTGCGGTAAGTGAAGACAGCACCTTAAGTGGAACCTAGTGGAAGCCACTCAGAAACGAGGATGGTTGTGGCAGAGACAGCTACTGATCCCCTCTAGGTGACTCTTCCTTTGTGTGTAAGAACCCAAGAATGTGTAAGACAAGCAGAGTAAAAGATCAGCTTCAGTCATTTCTCCAAATTATGAATTACAACTTCTGTTACCATTTGCAAACTACTAAAAGGTAACCTGTGAATTATTAGTCATTGCTATCAAAGAATATGATCTTGCTTCAATCTGAGCTCTTCTGATTTGCTGTTATCTAATTCAAGGCACTTTACATGTTTTGGTGCCTTCGTGTATTAACATGTAACATGAAAAAAACACTCATTTACTTACCTCGAGGAGCTGCTACATGGAATATTGACTCTGAAAGCACTTTGAGCTCCTCAGATGAAAAGCACTGTGGGAATGGTTAAGCCGAGGCAAACTATTCCAATGCCCTGGAATTCTGATCTATTGTGCCGTATGTCTCAATCATGCTTTCTGAACACTTTTAAAATAGAACCCGTTAGTGGCACTCTGTCCCTTTATTTATGTTGTTTGGCACATAGATGTTTATATATTTAAAATAGTTATCATACTCCTGATTCCAAAAAAGTTTACTAAATTTTCCAGTAAAGTGAATGAAATGTACCCCTTATGGAGTACTATGTTAAGTTTAGAAGTCTTTAGCTTTCTCTGAGAGACATGTGACATAAAAAAAGGGTCCTTTTTTTTTTTTTTCTCCAAAATAATTCAACTAGTGTTATTTTGTGAAACTACAAGTATTTAATGAAAAAAAAAAAAATACTCAAGGTATGCCACAGTGTCTATATATTCATCTGAAGAGTACAAAGATAAATTCTAAAAAAAAAAAAAAAAAAAAAAAAAAGGGTCTTAACACTATAGAAAATAAATGTGCTTCTTAAATTGTTCAAAGAAAATATTTAAAAAAACAATGTTTCATACATTGAAATGAAGCAACTTGTCAGAAATAATAAATTATAAATACAGCAGTTCAAATATTGTTTCTTTTAGCATTAGTTTTGCTAAACAAGTTAAATTCAAAACATTAAATCTGTTATACTCTTTCAAAGGAATTGTGGAAATCTAAAACAATGATACCACCTTATGATCTTTACATAGAATATACTACATAGTGACCATTTTAGATTTATAACGTATTTTGATTAGTACATTATATTCAACCCATTAATGTCTTTATATTTGGGAGAAATTAGATTGTGATTTAAAACCTTGAAGTTCACCCAAATGTTCCTTACTTCCAGGTTTTGCTTGATTCTCTGCAGGGGGTTCTATCGGACTTGTAATTAAAAAGATGAAAACTGAAAATTACTTCTTTTAGACTGAAAAAATGTTTTGTTTTTAAATAAAATAAAGTGCTTTTAAATTCAAATATTTCTTGCTCTAAACAAAACTGAAACATACTTAAACCTGAAATCTCTGTATCTTGACACACATACTTTAATAGAAAAAAATCATTATTGGGCCATAATGTCTTTCACGATTTCAAATTGGATCTAAATCGGGTTTTGCATTATCATCGTGCTCATGTTTGTGCATGAAGGTTAAAAGAAAGAGGGCAACATCCAAGGATGACCAATAGGCAGTATGTGACGTGACAGCTGACCAATAGCGGCTCTCCACAAGTCCTTCTCTGAGTTCAAAGTCAATTCTGTGATCCAATTCCACTAAAAAAAAAAAAAAAAAAAAGGAATCAAACAAATGAATAAATTATTACAATAAAAAAGGTTCCATATAGACTTACGTGTTGAGGATAAAAATTTAGCTAATAGAAATGATTCTTTTAATAATATGTATATATACTTTAAAGTGACTTTCCACTCTATATGGGAAAAGCTCAGAAGAGCCTTATTACCTCAGGATTCTATGTGTTAAGTCTTTTTTTGTGTGTGCCCAGGTTAATATGGAATAATAACTTAACAAAACAAAAAAACAAAAATTTACTACCAGGTGTGGCTTAATGGTTTGAGTGTCAACCCATGAATCAGGAGGTCATGATTCGATTCCTGGTTAGGGCACATGCCCAGGTTGTAGGATTGATTCCTACAAGAGGGTGTGCAGGAGGCAGCCGACTGATGATTTTTTTCTCCCCCTTCCTTCTCTCCCAAAAATTAAATAATTTCAGTTGGTATATTTGGAGAGAAAAAAAAAATGCTGGCTTTCCCTTGTGCCTAACCTGTAAAATAAGGAAAGCAGCCCTCCTGCAGAATTATGGGCCAGGATTTCATGCAATAATACCTGTGGGAGTGCAAGAGGTCACTAATGGTCCCTCCAGAGCTCTGAGGGATACTCTATAAGATAACCATCTTTTTACAGTTCCATAGTTTTCTTCCCCACTTGGCAGCCTAGATTTTTGTCCAGCTAGCAGAGCCTAACATGCGGAACATACATGTGCTCAATAAATGTCTGCTGTGGCTAGGCTCATTAAACTGGGAAGAAGAGTGCTGATCCTTGGGGGGAAGGACTTCCTTTGTAACAATGCTGCACTCAACAATTCAGTGAATTTAATAAAATCTTTTCTAAAATCCACAAAAAACCCTTGTAATACCTGTTAGAGAAAAAAATCACCATAATAAATCAAGGCTACAGGAAAATTTCAATCAATTCATTTAATAAATCCTTAGAGGAAAAACACTTAGAAAATTAGTATTTTGATCTTCAGCAACTAACTCCTTTAAAATTGTGAGTGAGCCAAATAGTCAGTATTTTGAAGGGTCCATCTTCAAAACAAAAAACACCCAGTCACTATCACTTAGACACAGAAAGTCTGTTCACTGTCCAGAGCCAGAAGATGTGAACAGTGAAAACTGGCAAAATTGAGGAGGAGGTTGGAGAAGAAGTTGGGTTTTGTTTTACACCGAAACTTTGGTAATTGCACATAGAAAATCATATCATTCTAGAGAATAATTTCATATAAATGTTAAGCAAATACTTATTTTAACAACTATTTTGTGACAATACTATTTGGTGACCTAAAAATGCATCTACAGTTGTTATTTTTCTTTTTTTAAAATTTGAATTTTAGAGAGAGAGGGAGAGAAAAACATCAATTTTTAGTTCCACCTATTTACAAATTAATTGGTTGATTCTTAGGTGTGCCCTGACTGGGGATCGAACCCTCAACCCTAGTGTGTGGGAAACAACACTAACAACTGAGCTATCTGGCCAGGGCTACAGTTGTTACTTTTCTATTCAATTGTTCTTTTCTGACAAGAAATGTCCATGTATCCAATTATACATTTTCCAGGAAGGTTTACATTCCAGCAGCATAAAATACCAATTAGGTTATTAAACCATTTGTTAGATATATCGACAGAGGCTTTTATAAGTTTTTTTTTAAACTGTCATTTTCCTCATTTAAATTATAATAAGCTAATCCATAAATTAGAAATAGTTGAAAGCCGTATGTGGAAGCTGAGTAGCAATGTCTGCTTCTTTTATCTTCTGTGTTCCATGTGACACTGGAGGTACATTCTGGCACAACAGACAGGAAGATGATAACAGAGGAAACAGGAATTTTCAAGCACGATGAGAAAGAGTCAAGGTGAAGTTAGTTATAAAGGAAAAGGAGAAATAAGAGAAACAGAAAATATGAGAAACCATTGCATGAATATTGGTGAAAACCATCAAATAACTTCTAACTATTCCCTTTAAAATGCTACTGTAGAATATCTTACTACGTAGTCTAACTAGTCTTAAATTGAACTGTGTTTTAAAGTCAGAGTGTGAGACTTGTTATAACAAGTGCTATTGGCTCCACTTTAATATTATGTACCTAAAATTTATTCTTACTATGCTATTCTTATGTGCAGCACTGCCTTTCATGTATTAGACACTGAAATGCCTAATTTAATTGTTACCCTTGTTATTCTTATCACCTCGAGGGACTTTAATAATTGTTAACTGACTGGCCCTCTCTATCCCTTTCTATTTATCTTAGTTTGTCTCTACCAAATGGGATCTAGGTAGCCAGCTTGTATCTGATGAAACTGTTTGACTTGCACCTTCCTTAAACAGTTTACATTAAGCAGACTGGCTGCTGGTGTGGTTAACCTCACATTTGTATTGATTCTGCAGGTGGATGAATAGAATTAGATGGGCTTGTTACCTTCTCTCCCCTATGTATAGAGATTTCCCAAGGAATTGAGATTCTATAGGACAGCCTCATTCTATACAGGTGGGAAAAAGTAGGTTTATAGTTGTATGCAAAAACAGTTTATTCTTGTATTAGTATTTTATATTATTTTTTATACAAACAGCTGTACACCTACTTTTGCTCCACCCTGTATGTGCTGTGAGTTGTCTTGCCCAAAGTGGGCCCAAATCTACCTGGAACTGCCATGGATCTATTTTCCTATTATCTATATAAAAGCCGAGCGACTGTTATGGTGGAATGACCGGTCATTATGATGTGCATTGACTGCCATGGGGCAGACACTCAACACAGGAGCTGCCCCCGGGTGGTCAGTGCGCTCCCACAGCTGGAGCAATGCTCAGCCAGAAGCTGGGCTCATGGCTGGTGAGTGCAGCAGAGGTGGCAGGAGCCTCTCCCACCTCCGCCACAGCGAGCCCAGCAGTAAAAAGAGCAGTGAGCAGGTGGGTGATAAGAAGGGAAAGGTCCCGGACTGTGAGAGGGGGCAGGCAAGGCTGAGTGATTCTGGGCTCCCCCCAACCCCCGCCAGCACACGAATTTCATGTACTGGTCCTCTAGTTACCATATAAAGAATGGGCAGCACAACACAGCTTGGTAGTTTTCCCTCAGTTTCTCTCACTGAGTTAAATCAAAGAGAAAAAAACATAAAATTGTCACTTTATCCTTCTTTCTCTTTCTTGGATGACTAAGTGCTAGAATTCTCCTATTGACAAAGAAAAGAATAAGATTCCTGAACAGCTGAAGAGAAGTAAAAACGAGAAAAAAATGTTGGCTTCTAATAATCATTAGCAGTTTGCTTATATGTTTTAAAAAATGGATTATTTTCTTTCCCGGAGAGTCATGCAGATGAGCGTATTTCCCTCCCTATTCTCCAAAGCAAATGTCTGCAGTCCACACCAGAGTGAAGGGAAGTGTCCTCAGTGCTGTGCTTTCATCAGAGGATTCCTTTGTGCGCAAGGCTTGTCAACATGGATGTCTTACTAAAAAGTAAGCAACATCTTTATGGGCAGTACCTAAGTCTGCTTCATCTTGGAATCTTTTCTAGTTGACTACCTTGGTATCTTGACTCCTGATAAACATTTAATCTAGAATGAATAAAAACAGGGGAAGAGAAATAGGAGCCATATACATATTACCAAATGAGTTACTTTGGTGTGGTTACGATTAGTGGCCTAACAGCCTATGTAGTTGGGAAGGCTTTAAGACAGTGGATATAACAGCTGCTTGAATGCAGGACAGATGTATGAATAGACTGATTTTCCTTTCTCCAACTAAATATGCAAACTGAATTATTTCTTTACATAAGGAACAACTACATGAGCAGAGACCAGAGTGAGCACTTTCATAAGCTCATTTCTCGAGGGGAATTCATTGAGTTAGATCAACACAAACTACTAGGGAGAAACAAACACACAAAAAATGAAATCAGCTTGTTATACTAAAACATTTTAAAACTTGTATCAAGTAAGAGTTGTTTTGAAAACAGAAAAAAAGGCAAGCAAATGCAGATATTGTGATTTGGATATAGTTAAAATATCCAAAGAAAAACCTGTAACATATCTTTTGTTAAAGACAAAATACACTATTTTTTAAAAAATGGAAAAAGTAAGGAGTTGTGGAAAAAGGAAAATTGATAAAAATAATTTAAACTACCAAGATTAATCCTTCATGATATTTAGAATCTACTAAAGGAGAGTGAAAACATCTCTTGCATCCAAAACTAATTTTTAAAAGCAAACCTACCCTCCCAAAGAGTATTAAATAGAGGGTGTCTTAAAAAATGTATACGCACTTTGAATAATTTTTATCGCAGTGTTTATTAAAATACATTTCAATTTAAAAATTGTGCTATCAGCTATTAAAAATATGTATACATTTTTTGGTGACACACTGTATTTGTACTGAAACCACATATCAGCTATGACATACTTAGTATCAGCACTAAGTGGTAGTGTTACTAATATCTGAAGTAGCTAGAAATAACTACATCCTTTATGATATGAAAACCTTTTATATCTAGTGTAGTACATAAGAAATATAGTGAAGCCTTTAGGATAACAAAGAAGGAAAAAATGACTTGTGCTTTTCTCCCTCTAAAAGATTCCTTCTCTGTAGGAATATCATATATTTTAGCATATAAGGTATTAATCAAAGTTGAGTTTCAGAATCACTACCATTTAAGATTAGAAAATATAGAAACATAAAATAGTCTATAGGCTGATTTCATAGAAGTAATACAATTTTTCAATGAGCAGAACTCTCTAAGTAGAGAGCATTTTCATAGTATTCTGAATGCTATTCCTAACATATACCATACCGAGGGCATTATCTTTATTCTGCATTACATTTTCCGGAAAAAGAAGATGTGGGAGATTTAAGAACGACTCCTGAAGTCTGAAATCTGTGAAAAGAAAACACAAGATGCTGTAAAGTGTTGGCTGATAGTTACAAATGGCCTTCAATGATGCAGTGGCCAAAAGTCAGAACAGTCCTCTCAAATAAGCCGACTGAACCTGGCCTACATAAAGAAGTGCATATTTTGATTTTTGTAAAGATTTCTTTTATGAAAAATGTAAGCCTAATTAATTTTGAAATAAAATGTCAATCTGTTAACATCCAGATATCCCCAGAACGTACAGTTCATTTAAGTTCTGATCTAGAGAAAAAATAATGCTGCAAGAAATAGATCTTTCCTTTTTATATTACAAACACAGGGAAGCATAAGAAATGAAATAGTAAAACCACTAGGAATAAACCTAGACTTTTAAAAAAGAAATGAAGATTAGTTAGTGCCATCAAATTGATGACAACTGATAGAACTTACTCTTCAAAGAGAGAAACCCTGATTGATCATGAACTCAAAGCCTGTGTCCATCTTACTTTCAAAGAAAGAGAGAATCAAAGTTGGTAGATTCAGAATAAAGATTATGGAGAATAACCAAGGCAATGAAGGTGAGCAGAAAGAAGGAAAGAAGCCAGAATTACCTAATCACAATGACCAAATTCCAAAAGGAAGGTTTAAACAAGTTTTATGATTTGCAAAAGATAGCCAAAATAGCAATTAAGACTTAAGCAATTTGTTTAAATCAGGATTACACAGAAGAGCATATTTTTGAGACAAGTCCAAGAATTAGTAAGGCAAATCTTGAGGATTTGATTTAAAAGACAGAATTCTAATATAGGAGTAGTGGCCCAATTTTAATAGTTATATCTATATCTAGAGATGAATATATGCAAATGAGATTCATGGTTAGCTCAGACTTAGTTGTATGTATAGTTGACTAGAAATTTACCATTAGGCCCAACAAAGAATTTATATGTAAGAATGACAGCAAATGTATTTTGTTAAGCTATTAAAATATATGATGCAATACAGCTAAGCACCTCTATTCACCGTTGTCCTGAAATAATAGGTTTCTCTCTATCATTTTGAATATTACTATGCTAAAAAAACCCCAAAAACTAAAAAAAACAGTTTTCCTCCCTCAGATCCTATAGATTGTCTCTGTCTTCACCATCCTTTCTCTTGTGCTACTTACTCTGCTCTTTTTGTTATCCCATTCTTCCCACTATTTAGCATCTTTGTTGTGCATTAACATTATGAGGAATTGTGACTTTTTATCTATTCTGTCACAAGATTCTTTGAGAAAAATTATTTTTCCTCAGTTTTCTTTTAACATCTGCATGTTACAATAGACGTTTGTATTTTCACAATCACAATCCTGATATTAAGTAGAAGAGAGAGCTTAAGTTACCAATAGTATAGGAATTACAAGAACATATGAAAATTGTACAAATATCAAAGTATAAAATGAATTTTCTAGGCAGCATTCAAAAGACTTGCAATTAAAGAATTTCCAGCACTTAGAATCTGACAAAGATAAGATCAAGTTAAAAAATGCCATTGGTCTAAATAGAAACATCCAATGTCCAGGATAATTAATCCTGGGGTGGGGTTCACTTGGAGAAAGATCCAGCTTCTAAGAGGCCACAACTGAACATCCTTTTAAGCATGTTTTACAGATGGCAATGCTGGCCATTTTGAAATGTAGAGCAGCAGACACAGTAAGTCTTTAAATATCTGAAATAAAATATTTAAACATCTCTAGAGAAAGTTTTCCTCTTCCCATAGTTACAGAAAGGAAGTAGGCTAGTTTCAGAATATACATTTCCATATATAAACTAATGGGAAAATAGGACTTGACTTTTTAGTCTTATTTTACTGAACACTTAGAAGCGACCCTTGGAAGTAAATATATACTAAGTAAGTATATTAGTGTTTCACAACAATTCAAGGTTTTAGACCTTTTAAGTCCACTGGAAAAAAATTAAACATAGCTGCATTCTAATGCCACATCCAGAATAAACTATTCATTCACTCACTCATCTCTTAAGTACCTGCTTTGCACCAGTAGTGGGGCTAGAACTGGAAGCCATCATTTTAGTATTGGGTTGGATAAAAGAACAGTGGGATAAGTAGCAGAATGGCTTTGGCATAGTGGTTTTTAAAAGTATCAAGAGTAGATACAGCATAGGTTTGATGCAAATACATGAATTTTTAAGGTTGAGAAGACCATATTTTTAAAAATCTAGTTTATAAAAACCAGGGGGTGCTTACCTCATAGAGATTTGTTTTATGCTTGATGCTTAAGACCCCCATGCCATAAGGCTCTGATTATTATTAATTCACCAATGCAGAGAATAAAACTGCATTTACCTGGGATTAGTCTTAAAAAATATAAGCAGCAGAAATAGATTTTTTTTAAAGCTTTAGATTTTAGAGTTGACTGCCTGCGTTAATATCATAATCCTCTCTGCTCTCCTCAATTAAAAAAAAGAAATAGCATAAAAAAAACCAGTATGAACTAACATGCAGAATCAAGAAAGCCAGAACTGCTATGTGGAAGGGTCTGTGTTGCCACAGTGGTAGTAGGAGGCGAGGCAACTGGCTTCTTCTCGTCTTCCATTGGGTCTTTAGGTGTCTCAGATGGCTGTGCAGTAGATGAACGTCCAAACCTTGAGAACAACATTCCTCCAAGTCCCTTTCCAATGCTAGCAGCCCCTGCATTTCACAAAACAGGGCAGTCATTCTGCTGAATTACACCACATACCAAGCCAAAGAGCACCACCCAGAATTATTGCCAATTGGCAGAGGCACCAAGCTCTAGTCATTTTTTTCCAGAGTGGGAACATAAGTTACAATTTATATCGTAGGTTTCTAAGTAAAAATATTGTTGAACAGAAAGAGAGTGTACAGACTTTATGAATACAGCTTACAAAAGAATAAAGATTCTATTTTACTCAAGTAATCATTAAAGTATTTGGTAAGATTAGAAATATACGACATAGGCATATATTTACTGTTATATGCTTAACATTGAAGTTAGGTGGGTATGTAATAAAAAGTTATCAATAAACCAATCTGTATGACAAAGAGAAACAGCAATTAAACCAGAAGGTAAAGCCTATTTAGAGTGCCATCTTGTGGCATTTTATATTAATGCAACTTATAACCAAAAGCAATGGGCAAATTCAAGTGGCACATCACTGAACTCCAGGTGCCACACAAATATGGAGAGCATTCAGAAAGAAATGAAATATTGTTGCCCTCAGGAAGGATACAATTTAAGAGACTTTTGGGACATGGATCAGAGAACTAGCTGGCAGGGGCACTCTTAGAACTCAAGTACCTCCTCATTTCACAGACGAGGAAGCATTAAGATCTATGAGACTTGCCCGAGATCTCACAGGAAGTAGTAGGGACAAGTTAAAATGAGGGACTTGATTCTCAGACCCTTGTGCATTCAACTATTTTACATCTAAAACTACTGGATTGGATCTAATTAGAGAAATTCAAGGTTTTTGGCCCTCAAATATGAACAGCGAGAGGGCAGTTAATTCTAAACATGTGGATTAACTATTGGATGGTTTGTAATACATAGAATATTTCTAAATCTCCCAATTTTAATGCCTGAATAAAAAGTACTTATATTCATTAATAAGGAATATTAAATAGAAATTACCTAATATGCTTGCTTTGCCTATATTTGTTATAGATTCTCCATAGTGTCGGCGAGACAAGACAGGTGAGGTCACAGGGCTTGGTAGTGTGGAAATGCCTTCATTCTCTGAAACTGAGGTAGATTCTTTGCACGGGTGAAGAAAGCATGGCTTCATATGCTCATATGGTAAAGGATTTGAAGTATTATACCAGTGGATCTGGACAGGTGAAATGTTGCTGTAGTGTTTCAGTATTAATGGTTCTAATCTATAAGCCTTGATTAAAAAATAAAAAAAAGAAACACAACATTAAGGCTCGGATTTTAGTAAATTCTGTTTATTTTTATTCTACTGCATGCTCAGCAGACATTAGGGTATTTTTAAAAACCTGATAATTTCTAACATGTATTTCCAATTTGTTCACTCTTAATAACAGTAGTTGATTTAATATTTCCTTAATGATGGGATTATGTAAAAAAAAAAAAAAAGAGTTAGTTTATGATAATAGTACTCAGAGAAAAAAATTCATTTTTATTATGCCCTGATACCATCTAACAGATTAATTGTAGTCTCACAAATAAAGCAGAAGCAAGCAGTCAAGAGTAAACTGGAACACAGTAAATAAAGGCATTTATTACTAACTTAGAAGCTCTTAGAAACTTTACTTTCAAATAGATTAACATAGTAACACACAAATAAGATCCCAATAGAAGACTATTTGTCTACTGTGAAGTGGAGGTGATACAGCAGAAATGGCAATGGATTTGGTGTCAGTATCCCCCGAGTTCATATTCTAGCCTCTGTCACAAGTCTCAGTCTCAGGTTCCTGAGCTATAGAAAGGCGGTAACACTTCCTCCCATACAAGGATGTTAGAAATAGATAATGTTTGTAAAAACTGCCTAGCATAGTTATGACATAAACACTAAAAAAGCACTACTTAAAAAAAAATCACAAAAAACCATAAAATAATAAAAATAATTTATAATAATAAAAAGAGTTTGGAACTCTCCTTTATAATTGAACAAACTTTAACATTATACAAAGGACAATGAAAGCTCAGATTTCACCTATTAACTCAAGTTCACTTTCAAGTTATAAAAAAAATGAGTACCTATGAAGTAAACATTATTATCTGCATCATATAGATAATAAACAGTCTCTGAAGTGACTTGGGTTAAGACTGTGCAGTCTGTATTTAAGCATTATATTATATTCCAGTTCAGTTAAATTTATTTCTTAAAGTTAGCAGTTTTAATTCTTTAACATATGGAAAATTTTCTAAAATTCTAGTGTTTAGTCAGTGTTTTATTTATTTGGTACTATCTAACAATCTTTTAAAAGACTTTACACAATTATATAAAACTGTTTTTCAGAATGCTACTTAAAATAGTTTGTTTTAATTTTAGGCATATCTATAGCATAGTCCCCCAAAGGGTTTAAGGAATCAATTTTTTTTCACATGAAAAATGATGATTTAAACTATTTACCTGGATGAAAGACCCTTGGACTGTTCATATTAAAAAATTATTTACAATAGAACATGTAAAAACCCCCAAAATTTATAGTCCCACCAGGCTAAACCAAGCTCTTCCATCTTTCCATGTTTAATACATAATATTTAAATATTTTCATTTCTAAGGGAATCTACCACATACATTTTCAATTTTGTAGCATATTTTAGAGAAAAAATATTTAAAGTGAGATTCTCAAAATTTATGATTGCTAGGTTATTGGTATTACAAATGGCTATGGTTTGGAAATATAGAAAATTCTCATCCCTTGCATTAGTTATCAAGATAATATTTTTACATTATATTATTATACTATAAGTACAACATAAACAGGTCATCTCTAAGGTATTTTACTTCCTGAGTCCCACATCATCCAAAACACAAATGTTTTAAAAATATGAACCTATGCAAACAAAAGATAAATGAACTCTTTCTCATTAATTCAGTACTTATTAAGTTTCTTATAGATTCTTTTAGGAACAATTTAATATTGAGAGGAAAATGCCTATATGTGCAACTCACCACTGGATCTGTTGGGTGAAAAATATTTAGTAACCGGTTACAAATCTCTCTGGGCAAAATATGGTCTTGACTTCCAGTGTTCCCTGGGCGAATGCCACGCAATGCCAAAAATACTGCTAGTGGGGATCCCATGCAGAAGAAATTCTCAACCTAAAATATTCAAGCCATTGACAATTTAAAAAATGGTGAAGTGTTTTCCAACAGAATTTAAGAACAATATAACATATGGTAAAATACGAAAAATAAAATTATCTTCAACTATGTCTTTTTTTCTATGAGCTTTGTCTAGATGGCATCTGCATTATTTTTTAATTATATGCTAATCATTAGTTATTCTATACAATCTTCCTAGCAACAACTTCAAATATATCTTTCAATATAATAGAAAATGAAGAATGAGAATGATAAGAAGATTAATTCCATTGTGTTTCTGCACACTAATCAAAGATTTATTAAACTACTATTTTGTGTGAAGTAATATACTTGGTTCTATGGAGGATATAAAGACAAATAAGGCAATGAGAGAAAAAGATGGACATTTGTTATACTTTCAACAATAAAGATAAATTTTAAAAAAGATGAATAAGGCAGAGCTTCTACACTCAGAGTTTATAATCTTGTGTGAATGGTAGAATAAAATAAATTCATAAGTTAGGGAAAGTATGCTATATGACAGAGATTCACAACCTTTTTCATTTCATGGCACACATAAACTACTAAAATTCTGCAGTATACCAAAAATTAATTATATATTTTTGCCGATCTGACAAAAAAAGGTATAATTTTGATTCATTCATACTGGACAGCTATTGTTCTATTGGCTATTGAGATATTTTAATTTGGCATTTTAAAGGAAAAGAGGTCAGTGCCTCTGACTAAACAGTCAGGTATTACATGTTTTAAAAATTCTTATGGCACATTGGTTGAAAATTGCTGCTATATAAGAACAAAGAGAGGAATAATTAATTCCAACTCTGAGGGCTTTACAAAGAAGGAAGCATTTGCATGGGCCAAAAAGATAAAAAGAATTTCCACAGTAGGTGTTGGGTCACTGAAGATTAAAAAAGGATATTCCAAACTGATGTAACCACATGAACTAAGCAGAAGCAGGAAAGAACCTGGTTTAATTTAGAGAACAGAAATAGCTTGACATGCTATTAAATAGCTTGAAAAATTGGGTGTGGGGAAAATGTAATTTGGAGTGAGAGAATGTTATAAAACCTTGGCTATCTGACTAAGAAAATTGGACTTTATTTTATAGGTAGTGAAGGAGAATAGGATGTGATCCATGTTTTAGGAGTTTAAATTCAAAAATTGAGAGGCTGTTGATTTGGAAACAAGGTAGGAAATTATTGGAAGAGTTTAGGCAAAAGATAATCTGAACCCAGGTAAGACTAGCCGTCCCATTCACAGATGAAACTATGAGGGGCCAGGGTAGAGTCAGCATGAATGGGGGAAGACAAAAAAGTTTGAGTTATCTGTAACATCTCTAACGGGTAGTAGCTGAAATTTAGGACAAGAGATATAGAACTGGATATACCACCATCCAAGTCTAGTTTTTGCCATTATAGAAGTGATATGTAAAACCAAAAGAATGGGTAAGATTGCACAGGAAGTCCTCACTGGTTTCGCTCAATAGATAAAGTATTGGGCCTGTGGTCTGAAGGGTCCCAGGTTCAATTCTGGTCAAGGGCATGTACCTTGGTTGTGGGCACATCCCCAGTAGGGAGCATGCAGAAGGCAGCCAATCAATGATTCTCTCTCAAAATTGATGCTTCTATATCCCTCTCCCTCTCCCTTCCTCTCTGAAATAAATAAAAATATATTTTAAAAAAAAGACTGCTTAGGAAGTGCACAGAATAAAATGGCTTTAGATAGAACTATGAGGAATGTCTTCATTTGATTACCAGGTAAAGGAGGAAAAAAACAAAGAAAAAGTGAAAGGAGAAAACTAACCAGGAAAGTGGTATCATGGAAAATAAGGGAGTAGAGGGCATCAAGAAAAATAGGGTGGTCAACTGCATTGGATTTCATACAGAACGAAACATTTTTTCCTTCTAGATCCACCCTAACTCTCTCAGATGTTCCATATCTTGATGAGTGAGACACCCCAAATTCGTTCTTCCCTCTAATCCCAAACATTAAAGAAGTCATTCCAACAGATTCTAACATTTCACACTTCATCTCCTCTCATCTGGACTAGACTATAACAGTGTCCTTGCCTTCAATTTTGTTATCTTTTAATCCCTTCCCACAAAGCCTCTGAAGGGATTCTTTTTCATATATATATATATATATATATATATATATATATATATATACACACACACACACACACACACACACACACACACACAGAAACCTTTATGTTAAAGGAAATTTGAGAAAGTTTTTTAAATTTGTTTCTAAGGAATTGAAGGCTGAAGAAAATTGTGTTAATAAAATTAAGAATGTAAGAAAAAGCATTTAAAATCAGAGTGACAGATGAAACTATTAATTTCTGAAGATCAAGGTCATCTATCTATCTATCTATCTATCTATCTAAAAGGTTAAGTGTTCATCCATCCAACTGGTAGCTATGATGCTCACTGACCAACAGAGGGCAGATGCTCAACACAAGAGCTGCCACGATGTGCACTGGCCATTTAAAAACAAATGGCACCATGGACCTGATGTCAACAAACCAACACTTGGCTTCCCCCAAGTGGGACACAGACACCACCACCACCTGGGAGCGACACCCCACCAAATCGCAGCCAATGCTGCCAAGACTTCATGGCACAAAATGTGACACCCAGCCCAAACCAGCCTGAAAACGGTGGCTGTGGGCACTGGGTAATGACATCATGTAGCCACGCCTGGGTTCCTCTCTGTAGCAACTAGCATCCTTGGAGTTTCTTCAGCCCAGGAACCCGACTTGCTTTATAGCTAGGTGCAAACATTTTACAGCTCAACCAAATCTTTATGAAGTGTTTTCCTGTGCTTCATTTCATTTGATCCTCACAGAAGCCCTGGAGATAGGAGATTGGGTAGAATCCTATTTTCTTTTCATTAGCAAGATGCAAATAGTGATATGAGAATGTTTCTTCTAATTTTCTTTCCATGTGCACAAATACATGCACCAGGACACTAGTTTCTTCTCAAAGAGAGAAAAATAAAGTATGCCTGGGTTGTGAGCTCGATCCCCAGTTGGGGGCGTGCATGAGGTAACCGATAAATGAGTCTCTCATCATTTATATTTTTATTCTTCTCTCCCTCCCTCCCTCTGAATAAAAATATATTAAAAAAATTTTAAATAGTAGAGCTAGAAGACAAAGCTATGTAAATCATTTCTAGTTGATATACACAGATGCACACATGCATACTATTGCAAAATACTTTATGCATTGTCAGACACATCACAAATGTTTGTTAAATGGTACGATTCATGGAATAAATAACACTTCTTTATGATTGGTCAGCAGTTTGACAGACAAAGGAATATTCTCAGAGAAGACTGACTGCTTTAGTGATATCTACATCCATCAAAGAATTTTATTTTCCCATTTTTTAAATTAAGGTATTATATGTGTCCATATCTTATCATTGTTCCCCTACCTCACCCCACTCCTATACATGCCCTCACCCCCAGTGTTTTGCGTCCACTGGTTATGCTTATATGCATGCATACAAGTCCTTCAGTTGATCTCTCATCTCCCCCACCTCTCCCTAACCTTCCCAATGTGATCTGACAGTCTGTTTGATGCTTTACTTCCTCTGTTCATCAGGTTATAATTAGTGAGATAATGTGGTGTTTTTCTTTCATTGATTGGCTTGTTTCACTTAGTATAATGTTTTCCAGTTCCACCCAGGTTGCTACAAATGGTAAGAATTCCTTCTTTTTAATGGCAGCATAGTATTCCATTGTGTAGATGTACCATAGTTTTCTGAACCAGTAATCTACTGACAGGTACCTAGGCTGTTTCCAAATCTTAGCTATTCTAAATTTCATTGCTATGAACATACGGGTGCAAATATCCTTTCTGATTGGGCTTTCCAGTTTCTTAGGATATATTCCTAGGAGTGGGATTACTGGGTCAAATGGGAATTCCATTATTATTTTTTTTAGGAAACTCCATACTGTTCTCTACAGTGGCTGTATCACTCTGCATTCCCACCAGCAGTACACAAGGGTTCCTTTTTCTCTGCATCCTTGCCAACACTTGATTAAACCTTTATCAGTGATAACATTTGCAAATATATTCTCCCATACGGTGGGCTTTCTTATTGTTTTGTTGATTGTTTCTTTTGTGGTAAAAAAGCTTTTTATTTTGATGTAGTCCCATTTGTTTATTTTCTCATTAGCTTTCATTGCCTTAGGAGCAATGAAATCTAATGAAACCCACAGCCACCGTTTTCAGGCTGGTTTGGGCTGGGTGTCACGTTTTGTGCCATGAAGTCTTGGCAGCATTGGCTGCGATTTGGTGAAGAAATTGCTTCAGCATTATGTCTGAGATTTGGCTGCCTGTGGATTCCTCTAGTATTATATTTTTATAGTTTCCCATCTTATGTTTAAGTCCTTTATTCATTTTGAGTTTATTTTTGTGTATGGTATAAGTTGGTGATCTAGTTTCATTCTTTTGCATATATCTGTCCAATTTTCCTAACACCATTTATTGAAGAGACTGTCTTGACTCCATTGTATGTATTAATTGAGCATAGTGGTTTGGGTCAATTTCTGGATTCTATTCCATTCGTCTACATGTGTGTTCTTGTGCCAGTACCAGGCTGTTTTGAGAACAGTGGCTTTGTAATACAGCTTGAAATCTAGTATTGAGATCCCTACTACTTTATTCTTTCTCAGGATTGCTGTGGCTATTTGAGGTCTTTTATTCCAGAATAATTTTTGGAGAGTTCTTTCTAGGTCAGTGAAATATGCCTTTGGTATTTTAATGGGGAGTGCACTGAATGCATAGATTGCTTTGGGTAGTATGGACATTTTAATGATGTTGATTCTACCAATCCATGAACATGGTACGTTCTTCCATCTGTTTATGTCTTTATCACTTTTTTCAGTGTTCTGTATTTTTCCGCATATAGGTCTTTTACCTCCCTAGTTAAGTTTATTCCTAGGTATCTTAATTTTTTTGGTGCGATGGTAAATGGGATTG